TTACATGCGCCGGCTGGCAGACTTCAAAGTCTCGGGAGAAGGTCCTGAAAAGTGCCTTGACTTACTGCGCACCATGCGGGAGGGGTATGTCGCAGTCGACAGAATGCACTGCACGGCGGCTTTGTCTGCTTGCACCTTACCAGCCTCCTGGCCCTTCGCCGTGGAAATCCTGGGGATGGTGCAGGCAGCTCAGATCCAGGCAGATGTGGTCTTGTACAGCAGCGCGATCAGCGTGCTGAGTCTGGGCTCTTGTTAAGGGATGTAATTTAATTTTACCATAATAGGGATCTATGGTAAATAATATGGTTTCCTGATTATGGTAACTTAGATTAAATCCCTTAACAAGAGCCCAGGAGTCGGGCAAGGTGGCAGCTTGCTGCAGAGCTCTTCTGGAACCTCGGGGCCATGCGAATTCCCAGCGACATCACGGCTGTCACAGCCGCCTTGCATGCCTACTCCACAGGGACGCGCTGGGAGGCCTGCGCCTGGCTCCTGAGCCACACGAGGAACTGGGATTCCGTGGCCTGTACCACGGCAATCAGCTCGTGCGAGAAGGCTCGGCGCTGGGAGGTGGCCCTGGGCTTCTTCGCCACTGCTGTGGCTCAAGGAATCCGCAGGGATGCGGCCATGTACAACGCCACCATTGCCTGCTCTTCTCAGGGCGGGTTGGGATGGATTGGAGTGCTTCGGCTAGTGCATGAGATGACACGAGAGAGCATCTTGGCTACTGAATCGGTCACCTTTGCGTCTCTTGTGTTCTACAACCCCGCTTCAAGTGCCTATCAGTGAAAAGGTTATAGCCATAGCTTCGTCTTCTGGCCACAAAGCCCGCTATTTCGTCCAAAAGTAGCAGTGCGCCCCCCAGTGAACAGAGCAGGGAGGCACACTGCAGCTGCAAAGTCATACAAAGCCAACTAAGTCTAAAGTTTAGTTTAAAGCTTCAGCAGACCCTCGCCCCTTTCACAGTACCAAGTGGTAAGGTATCCAGAAATCCACCACCACCTGCAACTCTGTGCTAACAGCTCTGGAGCGACTGGGTTGCTGGGAGCAAGCGCTGGCGTTCTTCAGGGAGATGCCTGGCTTCTCCCTTCTCCCAGAGCTGATCTCCTACAACGCGACGATGACATCCTTTGAAAAGGCGCTTCGGTTTGGGGTTTTGAAAATTAATGATGGTTGTGGGGCTTCGGGATCACATGAACCCTAAAGATGTTTCTCCAGGTATTTCCGGATCTCTGAGACACCCAGCCAGAATTTTAAAAACGAACCCTCAAAGCTACACCCAGACACCCGCAACGTCATAAACTCCTCAGCCCCGATGTTAAACTGTCGCTGTGGACCTGCAGGAGAGCCGCTGGGAAGAAGTCCTCTCTCTTCTGGTGGAGGCGAAATCTCGCAGAATGGGAGACTGGGACGATGTATTTATAGTTTGGGGGGGAAGCGAAGGGTTGTGATGTGAGTTTCAGAGCCTCTTACCTACTGGCGTTTTGAGTGTAGGGTTGTGGGTATAGTGAGAGCCAACTAGACTTGGGAACTGGGCGCGCAGAAGGCAATCCGGCTTTTGTTACCGGAGACCTAATCTCCCGAAGCCCTGCACCCCTAAAGTCCCTGAAGCCACTAGACCCCAAAGCCTAAACCCTACAATCGCTAAACCCTACACCCCTAAACTCTCCCTAAGCCCTACACCCAAAGGAGATGGCATCAGCTACAACTGCTGCATCGCTGCCTGTCAGAAGGCCTCGAACTGGCTCCTAGGTCCTGAGTCGTGCCCTTTTTTTTTTGAGGGGGCGTCTCTCTTTGCCCTGCTTCTTCTTCTTCTGATGATGATGGCTGTTGCTATGCTTGGTATGGGTTTCATTATCATGTTTACTATCGTTTAGACTGCCTACTGCTGTACCGGTCTCATTATCATCTTTATGCTTATCACTATGAATAAACAAATGAATAAATAAATAAATAAAAACAAATAAATACATATACATATATATATATACATACATATACACACATCTATATATACGCTCATATACATGTGTGCATATATATATATATTCAATTATTATTATTGCTTTTCTTCTGTTCCGTTTTTTAAGGGGTGACTGGGGGAACTGAGGCTCCACACGCTTGCTCTGCTGGAGGAGATGAGGGGCTGCCTGGCAAGGCCGGACTCCATCGCCTACAACAGCGCCGCTTGGAGGAATCCTTGACGCCCTAGAGCCCTTCGGTGCTAGGACTTTTGGATTTTAGGGTTTTGGGGCTAAGGGTTTAGGGTTTAAGGGCCTTTACGGGTTTAGGGCTTAGGGTTAGGGTTGGGTTTAGGGCTTAGGGTTTAAGGGTTTAGGGCTTAGGGTTTAGGGCTTAGGGTTTAGGGCCTTCGGGGTTTAAGGGTTTAGGGGTCCTACAACCGTAACCTTGGAACCCTAAACTCCAAACGGGTAGAAGTCTGCTGGTGCGACTTGGGCGTGGCATTGTCACGAGCTTTGTTTGGAGGGACTCTGGGGTTGCCGGTTGCAGTCGCAGTTATTCCTTCACCCTCAACCCCAAGCCCTGACTGCAGTGCTTGCTTCAGGGTTTATAGAGCCTGGGCCGCAGAGCCTTACTTCTAGTCTTCGTGGTTTTAGGTGCAAGAATTCAGGGGAAGCCCGGAACTCTCAGCGCGAAGCTCGTAACCGAACGGCTTCGAGTCTCCGGTTCCAGTACGTTTTGGCACAGGAGGGTCGGTGAGCACCTAAAACCCTAAACCCTAAACTTATAAACCCTAAACTTAAACCCTAAACCTTAAACCTTAAACTTAAATCCTAAACCCTAAACCTGAGCAGAGCATACTTCACTAGACTGCAGAGAGGTTCACAGCGCCCCGGGATTTGAGGTGTGGTGTGGACCATTCAGGGTCGAGCAAGAATTTCTCATGGAGTTTCGCATATGGGTAGTTCTCTAAACTAGGATTCCTTTTAAGCTTCCTTAAAGGGGTCGATAAGGGTTTCTGTAAAGGTTCTATAAGGGTAGTTCTCTAAATTGGGGTTCCTTTTAGGGTCCTTTTTTTATAAGGGTGCCGTACTATATCCCTAATTTAGAGAACTACCCATATGTCCGAGCCTTCCTCCTGAGGCGATCCTGGCTTCCTCGGGCATGTCCCGCTGGGAAGCGACTTAGATAGCCAATGGGAGAACTTTAAACTTTGTGTCCTTATATATTAAGTCTACCCTAAAAAGTTTGAACTTTTTTGGGCCTGGTTGTTGAAGAAGAGAGGCGATGCTGGCCTTGCTGTTTGAGTGTCTCGCCAGTGGGGTGACAGCTGACATGCAGAGTTGGGCTGTGCCCCGGCCACCAGGGATGCGGGGCTTGGGCCAGTTCAGGGAAAGGCAGGAATACTTGGTATCAGTATCCAATGATAGCTACATGTTTAGACTGCATTACCTCCCCACCCCCCTAACTGCATTGGTTTGGAGTTCAGTGCGCAATATATAGTCTGAGTATTATATATATATATGTGTGTGTACACACACACATATATATATATATACACATACTAGGAGATATACATGTTTATGTATTTGGGTCCCATACAAGGGTTGTTTATGTATTTGGGTCCCATACAAGGGTTCTGTGAGGGTGACTGAGTGCCTGGGGCTTCCGATTTTTTGGGGTTTAGGCATCGGAGAGCTTGCGGATCAGTCTCTCGTAAGCCGAACACGTCAGATGCCCTTACGGGGGTTTCCGAAATAGTACCCTAAATCGAAGGATCCTTTTTAAAAGGACCCCAAAATAATGTACCCCTGATTTTCGGAAATTCGGAAAGTCCCATATGAAGTCGTTTAAACCCGAACTCAACCGAACTGGGTTTAGGGTAACGGGTCGGTTAATCCGAACTGAGGGCGGTTCGCTTCTAACCGTATTCTAAGTTGCCCGCAGCCTAAACCAGTAAGGATGTTTAAAGGTTCTTGCAACAAGGGGCTGGGCGATAATTGAGCTTGAGGAGTGCAAACCCACTCCAACCAGCAACCCTGAACCCTACGCCGCAAACCCCACCAGCATAGGCATGCCTCTCCGAATGTGAGATCCAGCCGGCACGAGAAGGAGAGAAGATGCTCCTAAAGCAGCTTGGCTCAGCTGTTCGAGTAGTTGAGAGGTGCCGAGAGAAACATGTAAGACCAAAACCCTAAACCCTTTCAGTTCAGTTTTGGGCTTTACCGTCTGATCTATGCCACATTAATTTACGCTCTCGGTGTCCGCCCCTGTCCAGCCGCTCCCTTGAGCCTCATATGGGTAGTTCTTCATCTTAGGGTCCTTTTCATAAGGATGCCGTACTGTTTGGGAGACTCAAAAGCGACCCTATTCTTAGAGAACTGCCCATATGACCTCGTGGTCGATATCCCGAGGGCCCTATAGCATTGATGAAGCCTTCACCACTGAAATCCAAACTTCTGGCTTTCGGTTTGGCACCAAGCCCCAAACCTAAACCGAACAGCTTAAGTAACTCCTACAACCCCACCAAAAAGCAAACCTGAACCCTCACAGGAACCCTTCAAAGAGCCCAAGAAGCCCAAACCCTAAACCCTAAAAAGCAAACCTAAACCCTAAGAGGAACCCTTCAAAGAGCCCAAAGAGCCCGAAGGCATTTGGTGACTTACCTGGGCCGAAGTTCGGCTCGGGTTCGCCCCCTGAGGAGCCCAAGTCTAGAATGCGAGAAGATCAGGGTCTATAGCTAGGGCCAGGGTTTAGGGTTCAGGGCATTATTAGGGCTTAGGGTTTAGGGTTTAAGGTGCTGGGGTTTAGGGCTTAGTGTGCTAGGGTTTATCGTTTAGGGTGCTAGGGTTTAGGGTTTAGGGTGCTAGGCTGTTTTCGGGTCTTCTTCGCATCGGGAGCGATATGGGAAAGGGTTTGGGCGCTTGGAGTTGTGGGAGGCTTAAGAACTCGGGTTGCGGTTGCTCTGGGATGTAGATGACTTCGAGGCCGGCTTGAGGGAGTTATTGGGGGTTTAGGGTTTAGGGCTTAGGGTTCAGGGTTTAGGGTTTAGAGTTTAGGGTTTAGGGTTTAGGGTATGTGGTCTACATAGCTGGAGATGGTCTGCCAAGCCAGAAGCAAAAAGGATGACGCGGCACCTGCACCATGCAAGCTGATTGTTGTCGCGGTCGGGCAGCAGAATGTTCCCTAAACCCTAAACCCTAAACTGCTCTATCCCCAACATCGTCCACAACAGAAACTTCGGGACACGGGCTTACGGTAGCCCAAGCTTGAGGCCCGCAGTTCTAAAGCCAACGACGAATGTCACTGTATACATCATCGGAATATGAAGCTGTAGCTGTGTACTTGGTATTTCTTGGATCACAGAAACTGTTTCTTAAAAATAGCAAGGGTCCAAATTTCCAGTAGCTCTAGAATCTGTTCAGACTTCAGAGGTTGAGTTGCACAGGAAGCCGTGGTAAGCCCTTAACTTCGTGGTTTTTTGAGGTATAGGGTTCCCAAAATAGTTGTCCACTTCTTTGCACGCGATTGGTGATTACCATGTGATTACCATACAGACACCACTAAACCCTAAACCCTAAACCCCAAACCCTAAACCCCAACCCCAAACCCCCAAAACCCTAAACCCTAAGCCCTAGTTTCACCAGTTTGGAAGGGACGATGATTTGGAGAGCCCTGCGGCCGCTTTCTTCTGGCTCGGGTAGATGACGAGTTCTCGCCTGGCTGCGGACACCCGGGCACCAATGTCGCGGTCCCAGCTTCGCAGCAGCCGCATGATAATGACGATGATGATGATGATGATGATGACAGTGATATGAAAACCATCATCATCATCATCATCATCACCATCGTCCTCGTCCTCGTCCTCCTTCGTCATCATCCTCACCGACAGGGTCAGCATCACCATGGTCATGACCATGGTCATGCTCATGAACAAGTAGCAAGATGATGGCCATCATCGTCGTCATCATCATCATCGTCATCATCATCATCCTTCGCAGTTTCGGTTCCATGTTTGTGTACCTCACCATGGTCTTGCCTTCTGTGTGTGGACCGAAAGGACCGAAAAGAGCACGTGGGGACTTGTGAGCCTATGGATTCGGGACACGTTCGGTGTGGGCCTAAAGGCTAGCTGTTCTTTTTGAGACTGCTTCTTCGGGTTTTCCTGGGACTTGTCGTGTTTTTGGCTTTGGGTTTTTACGGATTAAGTCCGGTAACACGCGGGGGCTGAACTTGGAGACACACCTTAAAGCTTGCGGCTCTGACCTCTGTAGCTAGGACCCTGACACTCACCTGTCAAGTAATCGTATGGTTTTGAGGCACACAGACCTCAACAGAGAAAGCCAAAAAGACAAGAGCATGGCAAACTCGACAGTCCAGAAACCAAGCCTCAAGATTGTAAGCCCTAGACTCTACGTTCTAAGCTCCCTTCAATGGGAGATGTCTTGGCTCCCTCTCCCCCGTGTCTGTGTCTGCTTTGCAAGGCTGCGGCTGCAAAGGATCTTCTTACCGGCAGGCGATCTTCAGGGTAATTTAGGGGCCTTAATAATTGGAATAGGGTTTGGGGGTATATTCGACTATAACTATAATAAGGAACGCCCAAAACCCTATTCTAATTATTAAGGCCCCTACATTATAGGCTTCTGGGACTTGTGGTTGTGGTTACAGGGTTTTGGGGGCCATGCGACTCATGGTTGCAGGGTTTTGGGGTGATTATGGGGCTTGGAGTTACGGGGTTTCAGGGTTATGGTAGCTTCAC